CCCTGCCTGTTCGATCCATGATTTGACCTTGTTCAACCCATGATTCGAACCTGTTCGACTCATGATTCGACCCCGTTCGACCCATGATTCGAACCTGATCGACCCATGATTCGACCCTGATTTACCCGTGGTTCGACTTAGTCGATCCATGACTTGACCCCGTTCATCCCATGGTTTGACCACATTTGACGCATGATCCGAACCTGTACGACCCATGATTCGAACTTATTCGACTCAAGTTTCAACACTGTTTAACCCATTTTTCGACCCTGTCGACTCAAGATTCTAACCTGTTTGACCCATGATTTGACTTTGCTCGACTATAGCCTTCGTCGATCCTCTTATTACGTGACAAAAATTGGACATCTTGCGACCGTACTTAATCACTGAGTTCCAATTATACGTTTCGAAAACTAATGTTATGAAGTTTATGAACAAGGTTTTTAAAACTTGTTACAATAACTGAACCGCAATTTCCTGGACCATTATTGTTCCGACTTTTGTAACAAAGATAACTGAACCGGGTGGATTTTTTTCTTCATACAAAATTCGACTTTTTAACGAGCCATTTTTGACGGAATTTTTTTAATATAAATTCAGAAGCTTAAATTTGAAAAAAATTTCATCTTTGATCATTTTTTGTACAGTTATCGGTGTTTAAACATTGCCAATTTGTCTGATATGGGACATATAAAGCGCGATTTTTTTCGTGCTTTTATTGCGTAAGCGGATATTTAATCTGTTTTGGCAATCGCTCCAAATTGGGTGAAAGCATTATATTTGCCTTAATTGATTTTTAGAAAGGAGCAAAATTTATCTTTTCTTCTTTATATGGCGTGTGGGGGATAATTTTCACAAAAATCTCAATTTGTAGAAGAGAAAAAGTTCTATTTTATCCTATTACATTCAATTCATTATGTTATTACTGCTGCATAAGCCTTAACGGGCAGTCGGAACATTCAGGGTTTCGCCTGATACGAGCAGTCTTGATTTTTCATTCACTAGTAATACGTTCATGTTGAGCTAAACTTTTTCCGTTCCTAACTGCTTTCAATTGCTCCAATCATGAATTGACGTTTCACTCGCCAGTAAATAATTACTGATAATATGTATTAGCTCGGATTCATACTCAGTCTATTCAGAATATGGATTAGACACTCAGTCACAAAGTTTTGTATTCCCATGCGGCAAAAGATTTTTAATGTATCAAAATAGGTAACGAAAAAAATATGGTTTCATTTGAGCTTGAACTGCAATAAAAATCTCAAAAA